TCGTATCGTCCGGATTATAAGTTTAACGACGAAGATTATAATTATAAAGACCTTTTACTTATATTATAATAAAGGTTAACGGTAATATAATAAATATTAATCTTATAATAAAAGTACTAGTAAGTTTATAATTAAGATTAAAAGGAAAAGGTCGTATTTTTATAATAAAAGTTAAACGAGAAACCTTTATAAGTTTAATAGATTTAAACTCGTCCTTAAAAAAACTAGGTTTAAACGAGGAGTTCGAGAGTCTCGTCGTTAACTTACGACTTTTAACCGAAACCACTTATAACGTAGTATATTTTAAAGACTTTAATATAATTTATAACTATATAAAAAAAGGTTACGTTAATAAATCCTTTTACCCCGTTATAAGACTTATTATTAACTTTATAAACTAACGATTCGTTTTATATAACGAAACGAAACGTTACGTAAGTAGGAAAGTTATAAGACTTTTAATAAAGATTAAACTAGAACGGATTATTAAAGTACCGTTATTATATTTATATCCCGGTAAAAAGTTTAGTACGTTAAGAGATACTTAACCGATATTATAGTAAACCTTTAATAAGTTACTTTAAAAGGGTTAAAATAAAAGAAATAATAAAAAGAAAATTCTATTAATTAAATATAATTAAAAATATATATAAATTTATCGATTCGTATCCGATTTACTAACGAATCGTTACGAAAAAATATAAACTATATAAAAAGTTATAACCTTTACTAATCTTATAAGGACCTTAATAAGAGATTTTTATAAATTTTATTATAAGATTACTTATCGTTTACTATTAAAAAGAATTAGTAAATAGTATTTTAATAATAGTCGACCGATATACGAAGATGTGTCGTTTCTTTTTAATTTTAACTACTATTACGTTTAAAAGACTAATACGAATAGTATATATTAAGATTAAAAACCGGTACAAGATATTTAAAGGAATTATCTTTAATAAAAAAAGTGTATTTATAAGTTAATTTTAATTAAAAATATGTATAACGTTATTAATTCGTCGAAGACTTTTAATAATATACCACCTTTAAACCGATAAATAAACTAAGTATATAAACTAAACCTTAAAATATTATTTAAGGGTATTTTTTAACGACGAGTAGTCGAATTAACCGTTACTTTTATAAAACGTAAAGTTTACGGTTAATAATATTATTAACGTAACTATTAAGGTTATACTTTTTAATACATTATACGGATATAATCTAAATATATATATTAACGTCGAGGTCGACGTTTACGAAAAGGGGGTACTAGTTGTCGTAAATAAGATCGAGAAAATTTATACCTTTAAAAAAAAGGTAGAGAATTATTAAAGAAAAACTTAAAAAACGTATAAAAAATACTATAATAAAAAGTATTAATTAAAAGTTTTTAAAGTAAAAAATTTCGTCGTATTATCGACGTAAAATTTTAAACTATAAGTAGTTAAAAAGAAAATAACACCGAAATTTATTAAACCCTTTAAGATTATTAAAGAAATTAGTTTATAAGTATATAAACTAACGTTATTATAAGTATATAACCGTATTTATAATATATTCTCGGTTTTTTTATTAAAACCTTAAAAGTCCCGAAAAAGGGAGTCGGTAAAAAAAGATACCGTTACCCGTACTCGAAAAGGACTAAAAGGAATAAAAAGTAAAAGTAGTTAAAAATAAGGTAAAGTGTAATAAAAAGGTTTATTATTTAATAAAATAAGTAGGATAGTTTATAAAATATAATTAGTAAGTGTTTAAAAAGGATATAAAATATATTAAAAAGGTTATTTAAGATTACGAGAAAAAGTATAAAAAAATTACTCCGTAAAAAAAAAGTAGATTTATAAAATTATTATTTAAATTCGATTAACGACTTTACGGTAAAACGTAAGTACGGTATATATTAAAAACACTTACTTAATAAAAAAAGATTTAAATAGTAACTTTATAACGATATATAAACGTTATACGTTAAAGACGTTTATTTAATTAAAAAATATAAAGAGTAACTCGGTATATAAACGACTTAACTACGTACTTATAACGTTTAACTTAAAAAAAACTATTATTAACACTTAATACGACTTAATAAGGATAAGTAAACGATATACGACGAAAGTACTTTAAAAAAGAGAGGGGTTAAAACGACGTTTACGACGTTTTACGTAAACGAAAAAAAGGTTCTTTTCGGTCGTATTCCGGTCGATTAAGTTAAAAAAGATACGACGATCCTTTAACCACTTTTAATATAAAGGATCTTTAAACTCGAGTCGTAAGTAGAACTATTCGGGGTTCGACCTATTATTATTAGTAACGAAAAGGATACGGTTATAAGTAACTTGTAACTTTATTACGATTCTTTTATAAATAGTCCGACTTATTATTTTATTAAAGTTAATAATTAACCGGTAGGTTTTTTTATAGTCTTATATAAGTATTATTAACCGGTATATAAATTCGTTTACGATATATAATAAGATTAAAGACGTTTCCTCGTCCGGTTTTAATAAAAAGTCGATTATTTTAATAATAACGTAAAAAACGACGTAAACGTTTTTTATAAGTAACGTAAAAACCTTCTCGTAAAAATAATAACGAGTCTCGTATCGTTAATATCTCGTCGTTACTCCGTATACGTAATATAAAGTTTAACGAGGGTTAACGTTTTAAAGGTTATTAACTACGTTAAAAAGACAAGTAATATACGTATAAACTTAAAGGTCGGTAATAAACTCCGGTTTAAAGTCGTCGTTATTTTAAATCTTTAACGACTCGTCGTCGGATTTATTATTTATTATATTATTATTTATATTTAAGTATATATCGTTAAAAGTATCGTAGTCCGGTGTCTCGTAAGTAAAACGTTAAAAAGTCGTAAACGAGGTTTATATTATAAAGAAAACGGGAGTAATATCGTTAATAATATACGGTCGAGTCGTAAAAGTAATAAGAGTTATAACGGGTCGAGGGTAATTAGTACCCGAAAGGTTTATAATTACGTTACGAAACGTAAAGTTATTAAATAATTAAAAGTAGTTCGAGTTCGAAAGGTTTATAACTTAAAGACGAAGTGTAAAAAAAGTAACCTTAAAAGACGGAATAAACGGAATTATAAACGAGTTAAGTAATAAGTCCGAAAAGAGTAAACGTAGTTAAAATTTTTTTACGGGTAGTAAAATTATTTATTAAATAAACCGTAATATATTAAGTCGAAGTTAAAAAGGTTTAACGATTATTAAACGACTTATAAACGAATTAGTATCGATACGTTAAACGATAATATAAACGTAAACGTGTTTTTTAACCTTCGATACCGTAAGTTAATTAATATAAAAAATAATAAACGAGTAACGAAATAAACCCGTAATACGTTAAATAAACGTATAGTTTAATACGGTTAATAAACGTTAAATAATTAAGTTTAAATTATTTACGTTATTACGTAAAAATAAAGAAATAAAAAACGAAGACTATAAAAATCTTATTATAATATCGTTTAAAGACTTATTTCCGTTACGTTTATAACGTTAAAGAGTTTTAAAAGGTATATTAAAAAATATTAATTAAAAACGACTTTTAAACGAATAAACTACGATATATTAATAAATAAAAAAGAGTTATTAAAAAAACTCGATTAACGATTTATAAACGATAAATAATCGATAATCTTATAAAGTGTTAAAGAAAAAGGGGAAAGAAAATAAGTTACGATTTTTTTATAAGTAAAAAATAATTTATTTAAAAAACGTTCGTTAAGTTAAAAACGAATAAAGAGTAAAAAAAGTAAGAACGAGTTATAATAAAGGTTTAACCGAGTAATTAACTTTATACTCGTATACGAAAAAAAAGTAATAAAAATAAATAACGTTTATAAAAAGAGTAATATTTACGAATAAACGTTTCGAGTAAGAATAACTTACGAATACTTACCGTTATTTATTTATTATATAATTATTAATATACTTTATAAAAACAACGACGTTAAATAGTATTTAATTAAAAACGAGAATATTTATTTAAATATTAACGTTTAATAATAAATAGTTTAAATACGTTTAACACTTTTAAGTCTCGTATTATATCGGTAATCGACGGACTAAACTATTATATAATATAAAAGATTATAAAGTAATTCGTATACGAATTAACGGACTATCGTATATAATTAAAGGATTAATTATAACTTTTAATACTCTTTACTCGAGTAAAAGTAAAAAAATTAAAAAAAGTCGTAAAAAAAACTAAAGTTTAATTTATTAAAAAGAAAGGATAATTATTATAATCGATTCGTAGTCGAAAACTACGAATTAAATAACTAGATTTATATAATAAAACGTAGTATAACTAGTCTTTAATTATACGTTAACGTCACGTTAATAAAAAACCTCTCTCCTTAAATAAAAGGACTCCCTTCTTCCTAAAAGGAAGAAGGGGTAAGAATTAGTCTCTGTTACAATACACACCTACCTTCGCCCTCGAAACCAATACTTTTTATTAACTAATTTATTGTGAAGACCTATCCTACAATCACTTATAACAATTGGTTTAACAAACGGAGGTTATAGTCGTACACCGAGGAGGTGCCTTAGGCACTATAGTTAGTTAAATAGGTTTAACGTCCGTCCGTATACCTTAATAGGGTAGTAGAATCACCTACACTATAACGGTAAAATAAACCAACTAACCAACCAACTAAAGTTAACTTAACATTTTATCCTTATTTTAGTGGATTTTATAACCACTCTATACAGACAGAGGCTTGCTTACTTTAGTTTGTTTTCAAAGCGTCAACCTAGAAAACATAAATCTCAGGTAAGTAGGGTTTTATTGAACTCGAAATTCATTTATTAAATATGCGTAAACGGAAACGGTCTTAAAAGTCGAACTACGAACTACCAAAACCAACGTCCACAAAATTACAACGAAAATAAAGCCTAGTCCAATTCTTACAACAACAATTTAAGCCAATTGTAGGACCTTCTACGAACAAGGAATAAGGTCTATTTTTTGCCCTTCTTGCGGCTGGAGACAACTTTAAAGCCAGCAGGCATGCTCTCCTCCTTCGAGGCACCAGTGTTTCCGCCCTTCTTAGCAACCTCACTCCAGCCTCCGCCGATCTTAGCTTCGTCGGTAGACGCGGGGGCCTGCTTCTCAACGACGCCTCTTTCCGCGAGTTTCTTGCGACGAATAAATTCTTCGGCAAAATGACGACCGTCCATGGTCTTAGAGTTTCCATACACAGCCTCAGAGATAATTGACTGATCCAGGGGAAGCTGTAGAAGCGTGTCGACAAACATGTTGACTGAAGCAAAGGTAAATATATATTAGCATTTTCACGTCCACATGTAGACAAGTGATAATAAGGCGGTGAGAGAAGCAAAAGAATAATGACAAAGAAGGGGGAGACACATCACTTACCATCAATGTCGTCAGCAAGTCCACGGCTCACCTCGCGGTGGAGCCACTTGTTGAACTCGTCCATCGCAACGCCACCCTCGGCCTTCCCGGGGGCACCAGGAAGTTGTTTCGAAGACGAGCGTGCACTAGCCGGAACGACAGGTGGTTTGGCGGCTGCCATGGCAGCGCTCACACTTCGAACAGAAGGTGTAGCTGTGGGTGTCTTGACCTTACCGCCCGCACCAACAGTAGCCCAACCCGTAGCGGCGGCAACAGGAGAAGCACTTGTAGCAATGGGACTTGCTACCGCAGGCGGCTGGCCACGGCTGGCAAGATCTGCGTAACGCTTACCAACGAACGGCGATGAGGCAAGAGGAGGTTGGGAAGACAGCTCTCTAGTCTTCTGCTTCCGGGCTTCCTCCTCACGCTGAATATCCGCCAGTGTCTTCTTCTTATCGACAGCGCTATAGGCAACGCCACCGGTACCAGCGCTTGCGACGCTGGGCTTCGCATTAGACGCCTTAGCCCACGGGCTGGTAGGGGCGGCAACAGAGACAGCCGGTGTACCGTTGCCCCACGTGGAGGACGTCGGCAGACCAGGCGTCAGAGCTGCAACAGCCTTTTCGCGCTCTCGTTGGATTGCGGCCTCTTGTACAGCGGCAACCTTTCGTGCCGTAGCGGCTATCTCCTCCGCCTTAGCAGCCTTCTTAGCTTCCGCCTCCTGGATCTCCTTCAGGCTAGGCCCTCTATGGTTTTCTGAGCCCGGGTCGCGTGCCCAAGGCGCCAGTGGGGGTTGTTGAGTAGTACCATGTGCACCACCTTCAGGGGTCTCCGAGCGAGACTGGCTGGTCGCATATTGGTCGGGGAGCGTGGAACGCGTTCGCTGGGCCGTGGGAGCAGCCAGGGGTGTGCTGGACAGGGCACCTGGAGGAGGCGGGAAGGGCATAGGAAGGTCAGGCTTGAGGGCTCCGGCCACTTCGCCAGCCTGTGTTCCTCGAAGCTGAGCCGCCATTGCTTCCGCCTGGGTCTTTTTAACTTGTTGTGTCAAAGATAGAGACACGAGAGATTCAGACGCCTCGCCAACAACCGCAAACGTGCCACTATCACCCTGTAGCCGACGCTCCGCGGCAACTTCGTCGACAACGTCAGCAGCAGTAGCCTGTTGCTTGCCGTGTGTAGATGTCGTAGTTAAGGATGATTCGGCTGCAAGGTTCCCAGCCTCCGTAGCATCAAACTGCTCGCGATATTGCTTGAATTCTTTCAGCCGTTCACTAAATCCTTGCGGGTCTTTTTGCAGCTGGTCAATACTTGGTAGGTGGCCTAGGGTTCCATGATCAGGAGCAAGTCCGGAAGATTGCTGAGGAGGGAAATTTCCAGCGGTATTGAGGGATGGGAGAATGCCCGAAAGCACCTGGCGATCTTGGAGATTGTACTCGTCGCGGAGAAACTCTGTGCTAGCGGTGGCAAGGGATTGCGTAGTCGTAGGCAACCCCGAGTTATCAAAAAAACCTGGCGTGGCACCAATATGTCCACTAATCGGTGGAGGAACAGCGGCAAGCGGAGATGTCATGCTGCCAAAGCTAGGTTGGCTTTGGAGGCTATGGGCACTCGAATGGTGGTGTAGTGCACCTCCCGGAGCACCAACGGCGCCTGTGCGAGCAGCTGAAAAAGAAGGGTGGTGCGCAGATAGCATTTCACGTTGACGAGCAAGCACATACTGCTCTTCCTGCTTGCGGCGCTCAAGGTTATTTTGCTCTTCTGCAGTCAAAGTTCGGCCGTAACTGGGAAACGCTCCAACGAGAGGGGGGATGACTGTGCCACGGTCACCGTGAGCAAATGTACCACTCAAAGAAGGTTGGCCATGGGCAACACCGATTTGAGGAACAAGGAACGGCTCTCGAGAGTTTCCTATGCGCCGAATAAGCTGTCCCAGAGGTTCAAATTCGGTGTCCTCCACCTTTCTAACCCTCAAGTCAGGTGTGAAAAAGTTCGCTTTGTACCAGTCGTTCATCTCCAGGCCTGTGAATGGTCCTTGGGTCTGGCCTTGGGGGTCAAGATAAACCCAGCGCATACGATCAGGCATTACCATAGTGCGAGGTGCGTTCAGCGGGGTGTCGGCATTGGGGCGGGTGGCAGACTCAAAATGTTGCGGCAGCGGTGACGAGTCAGAGGCCAAAATGGCCGATTGTGACGCCTGTTCAGTAGTGAAAATACCGGCAGGACCAACTCTTGTAGGATCCATTGAATCATCAAACAATCCACGACCAGGTCGGATACCAGCTACGTCAGCATCCCTTACCTGGGAACCGATGGCCTCGCGGCCGATAGCTCCAAGAGGATTAATCTGACGCAAGTCCGGTATGGAGTCTCCCAAACCGTTGCCTTCCTGGTCTTGGCTGGCTGACATCTGCGCCTGCATGCTCGCTGGGAATAAGGCACCGAGCTTGCTAGTACTGGTACGGAGAGAACCAGTGCCGCTAGCGCCAGGAGCGCCGAAAACACCACCGCCAGGAACAACGCCGCCGAAACCGGGCGACTGAAGTTCACCAGTGCCCGGGCTGAACAACGAGCTTCCAAAAGCGGTTGAGAATACGGCGCGGTCGCGATCTGGGGTGCTCGAGGTAAGAGGGTTGCCCCAGCCAGCAATGTTGCCTAATCCAGAAAACCCCTTGGCTCCAACACTCGACGTCTGGCTTCTGTCACTACCATCTAAATTCGCGCTTGGATATCCGCCACGCCCGGACCCAAAGATGGCGGCATGGTCGACGCCAGCACCAGCACCGACCGCTCCAGTCATGGGAGCACTGTCGCCGCTACCAGGGCCGCCACTATTACGGTCCGTCGGAGGGCTGCGGAAAGGATTCGTCTCCGGACTGCCAGCAACATCCTCGTCGAGCGAAGAGCCGATGGTCAGATCAGACATGCCCAAGTCACCCCGGGCGTTCTTAACGGGGGTGTCAACAGACTCGGGATTCTGCGAAGCAGAATTGGACTGCCCGCCGTCCTCGCCAGAAGGATCAGTATCTGTCCGCGGCCGAGCGCGCCAAGAATCCTTTGGGTCCGCCCCGGAGGCAGTAGCAGTACCGACAGAGGTAGTAACAATGGCACTAGTACCAGAGCCAGCCGTCCTTGTGCCCGGTGTAGTCGTATCAGCACCATCTTGCTTGGGAATCAAGTGCGCTAGGCGGCTCTCACCGCGCGCATTGCCAAAGCGTTTGTCCCCTGTGGCAGCAGGCAAAGCAAAGCTGCCAAAAGTCCCGGCGGCGGGTGCGGGTGCAGACCCGGAAGAGCCCCAGAGAGCTGAGGCGCCTGAACCCAACACACTCCCAGCCATGTTGCTACGATTCAGAGTTCCGGTGTTCAACACCCGAGCAGCAACCGGTCCTGGGACCTCCTCTGGCACTTCAGTCTGCTGTACCAGTTGCTGTGGTTCTTTAGCATCGGCAGTTTTTCGACCAAACCAAGATGACTCCTCTCGAGGCGTGCGATTGGCAAGGGGAGAAGTCAAGCCACCGGTGGGAAGAGAGTTAGTGTCGGATGCCTCCCGGCGGCGCGTCGTCGGGCGGGGTGACGAAATCGAGGTTGTTGTGTTGCTAGTGTTGTTGTTGCTGCTATTGTTGCTAAAACCGGTGCCGTGGGAGATGGACGTCTTACGGCCGTTCGGGGCACTCACAGTATTACCGCCTCCGCCGCCAATCTGACTGCTGTCTTTTGGCTGCTGTGGTTTCAGAGTCGAGTTGACGTCGACAAACGCCTCCTTCTCGTCCTCAGTCATTTCCTGCAAGGCCATGGGCGTGACACCACCAGTAGCATCCCAACAGACAGTAGGGTCTTGCGGGACAGTGCCATCTGAGCTCTTTCCCCAGCTCCTCGCCACCCCGTTAATCTGCGTGGTGTTCCAACCCTCAACCAGCAGGTTATTGACATCTACTAAACCAGGCTGTGTCCCTTTAAAAATATCCACAATTTGGCCACGCGAATAGCGCATAGATCCGTCATAAGGCGGCAGGCTCTGCTGAGCAGCTTGAGATTCGGTCACGGATGGTAGTGCAGGCGCAGAGGTATCGGACGCAGCTTGAGATTGCTGGTTAACAACGGCGGCAGAGGGACGGCGGAAAGTCAGGGTGCCATTGGCAGAGCGCCCATCTCGACGAGGCCTGAACTAAGTTAGCATCTCAGGGAAGTAGATTGGAAACAGCGGCAAAGCTTGAAGGAAAATCCAGCAGCGTTTGGAAATGTCAAAAGGAAATTAGGATGGGCGCACCAGTCGCCTTCACCAGGCCGGGACCCTCTCGACTGGCCAGCCGCCGCCGACGCGAAGCTCGCAGGCGTATTGGAAGACATTTTGAGTTTGCACGTGGAGAACTGTTGGCGACGCTCAAATCGTTTAGGATCAGGATTCGAAGCTGAAGTAGCAAACGTGCTCTATGCAAGCTCTGCAGGAAGCCCAAAAAAAAAAAAAAAAAAAAAAAAAAAAAAAAAAAAAAAAGGTAAGGGAGGAAATGCGCAAGGCGTGTTGAGATTTGTTGGGTGCGAAGTATGTTGTGCGTCCGGTGCTTTTGCTTCAGATAACGACGGTGACTTGTATGCTCGAAAAATGCAGTCAAGTACGAGTCCGACACGCGATCACTTGAAGTACAAATGCGAAGATGTGGTGAAGTTTGGTAAGGGAGAATGGGTGGCGACAGCGACTAAAAAAGAGATTCCGTGTCGTTGTTGCTGCAAAGCTGACTACAATAAATCAAGATAGTCTTCGAGGTTAGCGGCGATAGCAAAGCCTGTTGTTGGAGATGGTGAAGATGTTGATGGCTATGGGTTGAAACAGGTAAGAAAATGAGACGTTTGGAGGTTGTAGAGAACGAGGGAGCTTCGGCGTCCGCTGCTTCGATTTTTTTCCGTCGAGCGTCCACCACACAGAGTCTATTAGCGTGCAGCTTTCTCCATCCACAAAATTGCGTCTTCCATAGCTACGTAGTACTGGTTCCTGGCACGTGAGGAAGGTCGCATGTTAAATCACGTGTTTACATGCACGTGAGCCAGCAGCGCCAGGTCAACCAACGCCCATTACGCACGATACACAGGTGTTGTTGACCTGCCAAAACTTACCCAAAAAAGCAGGAACGATGAGTGCGTGGGTTTTTGACCGATAGCAGTAAAAAGCCTCCAAGTTTTCGGTTGAGCAAAGGCCCCTTTATCAGAGAGTGCGTGAAGAAAATGCGAATGCGGTGTACATCGTATGCCAATGAGCCTTGAGCTTCACCACATGCTACCGTCAAGTGAGGCGCCCGCTGTGCACTTTGACAACACGCAGACACCTACACCATTAAACTCACGCGTAATACTTTACCCTTCTTTCGTTGGTTGCTCACCTACGGTTTCATCCCGAGATTAATACTTCGTTTGGCGTTGTCTGTCACCAAACAGGCCCTTCTTTCGAACAATTCTTTTCAGGTTTGACACCTACCATTTCGGACTCACATCTTCCTTCTTCTCTTTAAATTAGCCCCCAATAGGCTGCTGAGAACTTGCAGTAGTTCCTCCGTTTTTTATCACCCCTTCATTCTCGCAACGCGGAGCTCAGAGCCTCCCTCTGTTGTTTTCTTTCCTTACATCGCCAGACAGAGACACAGCCTGCGAAAAGCTTATCTTCTGGAAAAACTGCAATGCCCCTGGCCAAGTTAGAGAAGGGCGAGAAGCCCAGTGGTAGTGTTGTTGACAACACAGGCGATTCCAAGCCAACGCTGTCTCTGCGCGACCAGGAAATTCTGATGGCCGCGTGGTTGTCCATCAAAGGAGCTGAGCCGCAAGTAAGGAGAATTTCGCAGTCCAACTTATTTATCTCCTATCCTTATATCGCGTATAAAGGATAAAATACTAAAATCTTATTGTCATCATACCAGGTGGACTACGAAAAGCTGGCCAAGATTCTCGGGCTCAAGAACGCTCACTGCGCAAACACCATCTTTTACAACGTCAAAAAAAAGGTCAAGGCGTATCACAACTGCACAGCTGACGCCAGTGATGTACAGTCTGCCCTGGCCTCGCCAAAGACACCGACTCCCCAGAAAAGGGGCGCGGCCAAAGGTTCCCAGACGCCCAGGTCAGGGAGAGCAGCGAAGCGTCCAAAAATTGAGACAAAAGCACCTCTCCAAGACGAGCAAGATGGTAGTGTCTAATGTCCATATGCTCACTAGGTAGTGTGAAAGCATGTGGATCGCTTCCTAGCTAGGGGCATAGCAGCGCATCAAATGTATGAGATTGTCGACTCTACACGGCGTCGAGGACGGATAACGGAGGTAGATAACAAAACAAAAATAGCAGTCAAATGGGACTCCCTCTCTGTAAATCAAGTATATGTTTGCGAGACACAATCTGGCATGCTGTATTATACATGGCGATGGGGGACAAAGTAACTGGAAAGTGAAAAGAGAATGAGGTAAGGCCGATATGGCGTGAAATATATTCACGTGGATCTGATCTGAGGACGTCATGCGTGCAGTTCCCTTACTCACAGTCAACTCCTCACATCTCCCAGTTTCGTTGCATCATTCCTCTCCTTCGTCTCTTTACTTTCATTTACCGGTTTCGATGCACGACATCTCCCTTCTCCTCCAACTAAACACTTTCCACGAAACACGCAATCTGCTCGTCTGCTCTTTATCAATTTCTATCAGTACCATTTTGATACTCTATCAAAAATGGAATCATTGAATGAAAAAGCCATCAAGTCGCTGTCCGAGGCTGGACTTTCGGACAAAGAGCTGAAAATCATTGCTGCCGCTTGGCTCTCTTGCCCCTCAGGTGATAATGCAAGTTGCCCTGTCATGTCCACCTACCATCTTTTATTTTGTCCTCTCTTCTAACGCTCTTTTCAGCTGGACATGGAGAAATTTACCGTTTTGGCCGGCTACTCCACTGTGCTCAACGCTCGCAAGCGTTTCGGTGAGGTCAAGAAGCGCGTCCGCTCTATCGTCTTTAGCCCAGACCCAAGCAAGGACGACGCTCACAAAAGCGAGTGCGCCGTCGGCGAGTCTGGTGACAATTCGACCAGAATGCCTATGAAGGGGCACGAAAAAACTGCCAAGTCTGGTACAAAGCGTAAGGGGGCCGGGATCACTGGAACAGGTGGACCGGCTGCAAAGAAGGGCAAGGTTGGCGCAAAGAAACACTCGGGGGGGACTGGGGCCCTTGGAATTGCACAACATCCGGTTCTGGCGAATGACGAGGGTGTTATGGGCCGGAGCTTGAAGCAAGAAGCCAGTAACGATGAGAAGGTTTGAGAAGGGATCACAGTCCTAAAGTGCCCGACGCTGGCGCAAGTGCAGAAAACAATAACATATTTAAAGGCCGGAGTTTACTTCAATTTCTGTATGGACTTTATCCTGTTCCCTGGATGGAAGACTTTAATTTTCTGTTTTATTTTAAAATATTTTACTTTGTCTACAGAGTAAAATTCCATCGCATTATCAATACATCAAGTTTCAAAATCCTACCAGTGGCCTCTCGCTAATCGATCAAGATGCAGCTCGTATGGTCTCGAGAGTTCACATTTTTTCCCGCTTCAGTTGCACTTCACTGGCCAACACATATTACACAGCGCACATGACTTGATCTTTGTCAAAACAATAACAGGGTGAGTGTACTTTTCCAAAACATTTATTTTGCACCGACTCTTAACACGCACCTACACACAGGCGGAAGTGGAACACGATTTCGCTCCCATGCCTTGCGATTTGTTGCTGCATCACTGTCAATTCACACTGACAGACAGATCAGTGCCGATAAACAAATATGCATCCAACTACCTGATCCATAGCCAGCTTTCACTTCGCCATCTTCTCCGCAACCTCACCGCGCTGCAATAAACCCTCCTCAGTACTTCAAGTTCTCCAACCCAACTTTATTCACAACTGCGCGACCTCACAACACGCCGTACAGGCAAAACAATCATTTGACCTTTTAAATGGCTACCAAAACGTCCCTCGCCCCGATCGCAAAGGCGGGCCTCAGCGAACGGGAGCTCCTAATGGTAGCTGCTGCATTTTCCAGTCTAAAGAATGGTGATATTGCGGTAAGACCGGTCTGAGTCCATGTTGGCATCATTCATTACCTGCGATCCGGCTTTAGTATCTCGATGGTTGGCCCACTACGTTGACTGCTGTGCTAATACGGGGTGGCGCTATAGATCGGCTGGGACAAATTCACACTTCTGGCAGGTTATGGCAGCACTAATTCGGCCCGAGTCTGTTTCCGTCCCTTGCAAAAGAGACTCAAGGCATTCGTGGGCAGCAGTGAGCTCGGCGAAGCTCTTACCAGCTCAAAGGCATCAACAGCTACAGTCGATGAAAAAACGCCTGCCACGCCTGGTGTTCCGACCAGAGGCCGGCCGAAGAAAAGAAAGCTGGAGGATCAGGAGGGCAATGTGTGCAAACTACCCAGTCTCGCTGTGAAGCAAGAGGCTTTGGACGACCAGGGCAAAGAAGAGCTTCCACAGGGGACAGCAGCGACGACTTCTCCGAGGACACCAGGGCAACAGTGCCAGAGAATTAAGTTGGAGGAAATGCTACACGATCGGGCGGCAGAGCTGGGTGGACAGGTAGCCGCCCCAGAGCAGCCACTTTGGTAGGCCAGGTAACCTCGCAAGTATGGACGTGCTCCCTGCTGTCGGAGGACTCCGGGCCGCTGAAGGCTCTCGGGATTACCAAAAGTTCTACTGTTCATGTGACCAGGAGGAAGACCTTGACTTCGGCGAGTACGTCCACAAGAGTGATCAAGGTGAACGATGTGTGAGTCTTATGGCAGTTAACAATACTTTCAGGGTTTAACCGTTACAATCAGCACCGAATCGTGAGGTATTATTACATTCCCATCGATGGTAACCCAAAGCCAGGTAGATCGGTAAGCCCTAGGCACAGCCCAGGGATCAGGACGGTGGCCTTTTAGAAAGGCGGCGGTTGGTGATACGGCATCTCTTTTTTCTGCTTTTATTTCGTGGTCCAACGACGACAACGCATGTCGGAACGCGTTCGAGGGGTGGCGAGTGTATTTTGTTTCCTTCCTTGCACATAGTTTATTCGTAGGGGTTAATAACATCCACTTTTCAATCAAGCGTGTCGAAATGGGGGGGGGGGGGGGTAATACGTTTTACGCCTGCTGTTTTTACGGGTACATTTGTGACCTTCGTTTGGCCGTATAGGTGGAAACAATGAGCCTTCTTGGTCCGCGCAAGTCTACAGCGTGGAGTGAATTGTACGCAAGACGGTGTATAGCGAGTGGGAATACGTGGTTCCTTTGATCGCCGTGTCATTGAGTGTTGAATTTGGATTCTTTTGCAGAGTTTGTTAGATCATGATATCCAATGCGCCTGGGGGGGACAAGTGCCTGTGCAGCAAAATCTATTGGATATCGAACCCGACGAAAGGAGTTCGAAAGGAATCCCCCCCCCCCCCCCCTTAAAAAAAAACAATCATAAAAAGAGAAAAGAGAATACACAGTATGTGTAGCTTCTTTTTGGCGCGCGGTAAATTGCATGGAAGGTGAAACGGTTGTAGGAATAATACACTAGTATATACATTTTTCGAAAATACAAATACATTAACAAGCATGGAGATTAGGAAATATAACGGAGGTGTGCTCCCTTTCCCTGCCAAAGACACTCATTCTGCGGCGCACTCTTCATATCTCACATCCCACATCAGCGTACACGGTCGTAACCACGAAGGTACCGGCGCACTGCTGCATTTCGCCGAGCCACCACAAGACAAATTACGTTCTGACGCGTAACACATATCTGGCAGCGCCCACTTCGTCAAGCATCACAGCACTATGTAAGGGAACCCGGCCACTCTCAATTACCCCAACAGGCAGCGCCATTGATGTTCCCATGTTCCCAGCACAAAGTATACCCAAAGATCACCAGACGCACGGTGAACAAAGCATGCCAAGAGAAAAGAGGGCTTAAAATATCCGCTACAGGAAAAACCCCAAAAAGAAACCGTGGGCGACTCGAGTACCACTCTTCATACGCCGTGATCCGGTGGTCTTACCAAGGCACCCGTCGTCCGATGGCCTCGTCGACGTGTATCAACGCTTTGGTGGCCTTTGTCCCGGACAGGTTTTGGCCACTTACTACGACTCCACGGTTGGTAGCTGGAAGTTCCTGCCGTATGACGGCTTCCAACAGGACACGGCCGGCCAACCGATTGCGGTGGCCGTGAACGTCCTGTCGGTCAACTCACTGGCCGCTTTGGATCCGAGTACGGATTGTATACCACTGCCTCAACACGCTGGGATGCAGACAGTTAATGCGCCCTTGTTAGATACCCATACAACCGCCGCCTGTACCGCGTAACTACGCCGATGGAAATCTCGGGGCCCATTGGTCCATTGTTTGGGCGGCCTGGCCAAGGCGGGCCAGTACAAGATGACCGACACGATACAGTCGCTCATTTATGACGGCCTCCTGGCAGAGGTCGAATTTGACTGCTCTTGGTTGGAAGCGAACGACAACGAGAAGGGGATCGCGTATGAACAATTATTTTTGCGCACCAACTAGTGTGGGTTTTAGGAATCTGTAGGCAAGGGTAATTTGTCGCCTGCGCCTACAGAAAACGATAAGACATTTGATTAGGTTATTCGCCGCAGTTGTTTTTTAGTGGCCGCATCAAAAAGTGATCAAAGCAGGTATGGGAAGCCTGCGCTACTATGCAAAAGTGATCAACATACTCAGCGTTTTACTTCGCGAAAAAAAAAGTAATGACAGTGACCACAGTATTGTCTCTGAAACCGAATCGACTCTGTACCTCTACGCCGAGGGAGGTCGTATTCCAAGCTCGCTTCCCTCTTCCACCTCGGTCATCTTCAGGGCCTCTTCCACATCGTCCACGTAGTGTGTCTCTCCGCCAATAAGATCTACAATGCCAGAAAGCTCCATTTGCTGCCAGACGTCGTGTGCTTTATCAGGTCCCCGGCTGAAAAACACCCGCACGCCCCGGTCGCGGTAGGCACGGACTATTTCTTCTAGGACCTGCGTGCCAGAGCCGTCCATGCTCGTAACACCGTGGATGTCAAAAATCACATTGCGGTTGTGTTCTTCTCTCCGAAGCCGAGGAAGAGCTGGATGTGCCCTGCTCGTGCCGTAGAGTTCCAGCCTCCGTAAACGTGTTTTCAGCTCCCCGGTATTGGCAAACGTGAGGGGCTCAGGGATTTTAACAATGAGACACCCCTCAATAAACTCCAGTCGCTCCGGGTGATCTTCGGCGTTTTCAAAGCGCTGAGTTCCCGGGATGCGCCCAAGGATTTGGATGCGTGGGCGAGTTGCGTGACGGATCACCTGCAAGAGGGACAGACCGATACCAATGGCAATACCCAGGTTGAGTGAGTAGAAGATCGTGGCAAGCACAATAATAAACATGAGTCCTATTTCGGGCCACGCATGAATACGAAGGAAAAACGAGATGTCCGAGGGAGCCTCTTCAATCAAAGACCAGGCGACCACACTGATCATGGAGCAAAGTACTGGTTTCTAAGGCAGAAAGTAAGTCAATTGGTCCAGAGCCACAGAGCTTTCGTAACCAAGAAAGTTAGGAAGTAATGACTCACTGGAAGATAATAGAAGTATGGGAGGAGGAACAGGATAGACACGAGAGAGATCAAGCTGAGAAACACGGAGCTCATTGGCGTCTTGCCTCCGGTTTGCTTGTTGACTTTGCTCCGGCCGTATCCACCGAAAGCAGGTAAAGACATGAAACACCCGCCGACAAAGTTGGCAACGCCCAGAGCAACAAGCTCACGGTTGGGGCTGAGCTGGATGCCAGGGAAGGTTTCCTGTCCCCCGAGACTTTTTGCAGCAACGGAGGACTCAAAGAATCCGAGAAGAGCGATGAGGAAGGATGTGCTCATCGAGTCCCGGATATGGCTCATGTGAGAAGCTTGGAATGGCCATCGGAAAGTAAAAGCGCGGCCCGAAGCGGCTTTGACGGTGCCGAGAATCTCCACGCCTTGCTGGTCCCACTCTAGACGCCAGGCAAGGTACGCAGAGAGAATGACCACAATGAGGCGATCGGGGATATACGCAACACCCAGGTAACGTGGTTGCATGCGGCGTTTGATTTCTCTTATTCTGGTTAGAAACAGACCGCAGATTAAGACCAAAAAAAAGCAATAGTTGAAAAGGGTTCTGTACCTGAAAACCATGATGATGGCAAAGCTCACAAAGGCGATGATAGCCGTAAGCCTATGTACTCGGTCAAGGTTGCTAAAGATAAAGCGAAGCTTGTCAACAGTACTTCCGTGGTCGACACTGGCAGTTTCGGATGCCAGCTTAGAGAGGCCGAGCTCAGGGACCAGCTGATCGACAAAGATGACAAAGCCAATGGCAGAAATGAAGCCGCGTAAGAATGGTCGGGAGAGAACGCTATCGAGGAAGCCAAGGCGCGCAATTCCTGCCAGAAGAACTGTTGCTCCGGCAATACCAGTGATAACGCCGCAAATCCGCGCATGGAGCACATCATCGGCTTCATTACCGCTGCCCGAATCAACACTGGCGCGGATGACAGTGCCTACAAGTAAAGACCCGGCTGCCTCTGGCCCAACGATCATCTGTGGGCAGCTGCCGAGCAGTGCGTATATCATGGGGTTGAAGACAAACGCATACAGGCCGCTGATGGCCGGTACATGGGAGAGGTTGCTGGCGAGGGACAGTGCCATGGGTAGATAGATGCCGGCAATGGTCAGCGCGGCGACAAAATCGCCCTTGAGGTAACCTAGCTTGTATTGGCTCATCCAAGCGACAGAGGGAACATAGTAGGCAAGATACCTGGACATAAAAACGCCAAATTAGCACGTGTGCATGACTTCAAATTGCTTGGGATAAAGACATCGTTACATCGACCCCGTATCGGTCAGGCCATGGCGCTCAGCTAATGCGCTCGACGAGCTCATCTTCTTGCTGCGGACGTTCCGGACTAGCCTCCGCCGCCAGGTGCTGCTGTTCCTGCTGCCAGTGATGGTCGATATTAGGCCGTCTATGATGGGAATTGAGCCGCTTGGCCCATCTCTCGCCGAGTCGATCCCTGTGTCAGAGTTGTCGTCGGCTAGTGCTGGGCTGGCGGGACGTGGCGAGAAGGTGCCGTGGTTGCAGGAGCCGGCGTGCGAGCAATGACGGTCGTTGAGCACATCTTGCAAGAGGGCAGTGGATTCGGATGGCGCAGCACTAGGTCCAGCCTGTGAGAGGCGCAACTCCTCGTCAACGTTGTAACTGCTGTAGCCATCTTCATTTCTAAAGTGTGTGGTCGGGCGGGTGCGCGGCGAGGGTTGCGGGCTGCTTTCTCGTGGGGGATCCAGCTTATCGCGGGATGAGGACGAGGCCGCATCAAGGGCGAAGCTGGGACGCAGGCTGCTTCCGCCAGACGACGTGAGAGAGTCGGAACTTCTTGCCATACTCTACCAAGAGGAAGGCGTCCGTGATAGATGAAATGGTCTTGGCGACGGCGCGCTGTTGGTGGAAAATGTCAGTCGTTGGGCAGCACGAGGAGCATGCATGCCAAGGGAAATGCCGTAGTAAAGAATGGTGGGATCGGACACGTGCGATTAGGACGGGACAGAGTATGTGAACGCGGAGCGACGAAATGCCCAGACCCGCAGACCAAATTGGTCGGGAGCGACAATGGAACCTGTGGCGACAATGAGTAGATTCAAAGCCAAGGCGAGCACATCGTAGTTTGCCAGTATCTCGTCAGGTAAACCTAATGACATCCAGAGCTCCGTGGTACTCGTAGAAAATGCAATGGGTGAGCGGTCGTGGGCCATCACGGCAATGACGGATGCAGGTTATGGCCAACGACAATTACGGAGCAATGCTGGGCGTAGCAAATATGCTCTAGAAATACGCCCTCGTCAGCGCGTAGCCGTCCGCCGAATCGCCGATAAAATTCGTTGGCATATCCGCCACAGAAACAGGGGTGCTGGATGCTACGATATGCCAATCATAGAGGCTGAATTAGTGGATGACAACGCTATCATGGCCTCTTTTAACAGATGCGTTAACTGCTAGCGCATGAATTAGCCCATAACAGGTAATTACGATGCATAATTACATCGTAAATGTTGTACGAATTACATTGTAATATGTCGTGGTGTCAATTCAGAGCCAGGTGCCGACGCATTTTTTCGCTTTGAGATGATGGTAGCGATACAAAAATCGAGCAAGAAATACACCCGGTACATCCTTCTTGAAGCTGAAGCATCGAATTTGAACGACAAGTGCTGGTCTAGTACTTAATCTATGAAAGTATTTGTCTATTTTTGTAAGCGTCGTGTAACGGGACCTTTACTTGCCTTCGCCTACCTCACACACTACGCGGATACGTCCTTCGACTCGGGGCGCGATGGCCTTGGTCCAATCCGCCTCGTACTCTAACTCCGTCAACGTATCACCAAGACGACTCGGCACGCCGGCCAGGCGACACCACTTGCGGGCCACTCGGCGCATAATCTGCATCTGTCTGTCGATGCGGCGCATTTCTTCTGTGTTTTGAGCTGGCGTTGCATCGTCAACAACACGCTCATTGAAAGGTACCGCGCTACACCGTCTCTGGCGAAGTCGCGCTGCCGTCCAGTCTCTCCAGCCCGCGTCGTTGTCTGGCGACAACGAGCGCCCGCGAAAGTCTTTCTGTCGGGCAATAGGCTCTGCTATCAGTAATGAAGTCGTCGAACCGGGCTGTAGATGTGGATGGTGGTGATCAACTTTGGATACGACGCGACCCCAATGATGTTCCATTGGAAGGCTCCAGTGCGTCCATTGGTCAAGCACCTTGAGGGCCATAAAATACTGCCGCAGCATCATTGAGATGAGTATGCCACTTTCTTCGTCCACAATCTCTTCTGCAGTGCCACCTTCGGATTTGGCAAGAAGGCTCGCGAAACCGTCTGGAACCGTTAGTGGAGAGTCGACGAAAATAAACGGGGACACAGGAGTTAGACTGGAGGAAAGGCTCAGTACAGAAACTTACCTTTCCCACGCGCCATGTAGCCTCGCGTACACAGCACATACAATTTCTGCAAGTCGGCAGGAGCACCGCCGAGTTCCCACTTTGTGATACGTGAACCCGGTGGTTTTAATGGGTCAAATTCGTACGTGATGTTGGAAACTTGGGCGAACCGGCCTGCACACCGTTAGTTTAGTAGTCTCGCGCACGCTTTGAAAATTAGCCTGGCTTGCAGTACCCACCTTCCAATGCTGGATACAGGGACACTCCATTCTCCAGAGCGTCCAAGATGGCCTGGCCTGTGACTCGAAGGACGACCACCGGGTCCTCAAATGGAAAACAATCGGTAATGTCCTTGACACGCACCGGCCCGGGTGGGTAAATTTGGTCGCCACGGATCGTACCGGAGGCCATGATGGCACAGTCCGCCTCATAGTGCAGACGCATAATGTCGCAGACAAAGTTGCCTAAGTTGCTTTCCTTGACCCGGACAGTGGTGAATCTCGCATCAAGCGGTGCCGCCGTCCAGCCAATAGCCTTTTCCAGGCTCTGTTTGAGTTTGGCTGTAAGTTCTTCAACAAGACCAAGAGTCGGCATGTCCTCCGGAATAGATGAAACAATGTCTCTTCGCCGTATGACAAAATCCCAACGAGACTTGAGCCCACCGCCATCGCTGCTGAGTCGACGCCAGGCTTCAATGTAACTCAGTTGTTTGAAGTCACTACCTGAACGGAGCACATGCGTACCATTGACAAATTTATGCGAGTAGTAATGGTCGTGCCCTCCAAGTATAAGGTCGGCATCACCGCCTAGATTTTGTGCCAATTTGATATCGTTTGGCTCTCGTGCATGGGAGAGAATAATGATCATATCAGCACCAGCTTTCCGAAGTTCCGGGATAAGCTGCTTGGCTGTCTCCGTAGCAGACTGGTAAACAATATTTGGCGGGAGTGCATTGACCGTATCAAGCCATTCACGCTCGCCCAATCCGATCAATCCGATCTTGATTCCGTTGGACGAGGTGATTATGTGAGATTTTTGTAGATGCGCAATAGGGATGCCGTCACCAAGGGCCGGGTCGAAGATGTTGGCAACTAGCCATGGAAACGTACATTTGCCTGCGAGATATTCAAACTGTTTGACGCCAAAGTCGAGGTCATGATTCCCAACGCAGGCACAGGTGGTCGCGAGCTGGTTTAAAATAGGTACCATATGACTGCCCTTGGTGACGGAACTTTCCAAGCTCGGGTTGAAGGCGTCGCCGGAAAATAAGGTAATGAGATCAGGCTGGCCGATGTACCGTTTTGAAGACCTATACTCATTTACTGCGGTTTGGAAGCGCGCAGCCCCACCGACCGGCTCGGCCGATGAAGGGTCCAGATGGTAGACGTCGTTGAAATGCAGGATACGTAGGTTCGGGAGCGAGTCGATACTGTGGTCGGGAGTGAACGTAGGAAACTCAGTGCCGTCTGATGAAGAGGATATGGCACGCATCGTTCTGCTGGCTGCGGAAGCCCGGGTTCGGCCGGCCGGCAATTGGCTGTTGTCTCGTGCGGCCACAAGTGCCTTTCGCGGTTCTCTCTCCAGTAGTAGCCGGGTATTTGCCTCTACTAAACACTCGCGGGAAAACAACAAAGAAAAGGCTGTCAGCAATGCTGCCCAATGATTAGGAAGATAGATACCCGGGAGGCTTTTTTTCGGAGGGGAGAAGGCAAGCTAGGAAAGGAAGGAGCGCTGGATTCTATGAAATTGGGAACTTTCTATGGGTCATGTCTCGATGGTTTCTGTCAGCGTATGAGCATTCTACCTTCAATAGTGGACATCGTACAGAATACGTACGAAGTAGTCGGTCTGACGTCGAATCCGACCTCTCATACAAGCGGGCCATTTGAGCCGCCTACCTTGGCTCGGCAACCGCGCCAAAAGGCGTAACTTTCGGGAGCGTGCGCTAGGACCACCATTTTATGTGTTAGTACATTTTCTAACGGCTTCCTTATTCTAAAAAATTACGTATTTCGTTTTGGCTTCATCACGACGTCAGCAAACTACCACGTCTGTACTAAAGAACGGCTTATTCCTGCCAAAATGGCCAATGAAGAACCAACCATACGCTTTGCGCGCCGCGAAGGTACGCAATTGCTTGATTTATGGCCTTCAATAATGATTCTGTTCGGGTTTCTAACCATTTGTAGATGTCCCGTCAATCCTCCAGCTGATCCGCGAGCTCGCAGACTATGAGCACGCGATTGACAGTGTTGAGGCTACCGAGGAGAAGCTGCTGGCCACCATTGCGTTCGCTCCCCAGTCACATGATGCTAACAGTCTCACGGTGTCGACAGAGCCGACATCCCCAAGTCGGCCTGCACGCTGTTTGATCCTCTTTACGCCTGATGGGACACCCGCTGGCATTGCACTTTACTTTTACAACTACAGCACATGGCGTGCGCGGCCTGGCATTTATCTCGAGGACCTCTTTATAAGTTCGTCTCAGAGGAAAAAGGGCTACGGCCGAAAGCTGCTTGAGGCTTTAGCAAAGGAGGTAGTCGCCATGGGCGGCGGGCGATTGGAGTGGAGTGTTCTCAAGTGGAATGAACCAAGCATCAAGTTTTACGAGAGCATCGGTGCTACGATGATGGATGAATGGGTAGGAATGCGTGTTGATGGTGAGGGACTAGCCAATCTCGCAGGGGAGAATTAGCAACATGTCGCAGGGAGAGAATACAAAGAGCAACCTGGGGTTTGCATTGATTCAGCCCTGGTGTCATCTATCATTCGGACCATTCGCTGCATTTTTGGGTGGCGTCGCATCTCAAGTGGTGTTTTTCGGGTGCTCCCCTGATGAACGAAGAGGCAAGGCGCCTTTGCTGTCGACCCCTTCAAAAAACTCGAGGCTGGCCGCCGTCGGTGATAGCGGCTGCAATGAAGTTCCGCCCCATGTGATATCCCAGCCACTCGCCTGCCCGCCTGCCTTGCTTTCCATAACTGCCGTCAACTGCCAAATCTCCCCATACAACCGCCGCCAAAAACGAGGCGTATAGTTGTGGTAGCCAATGGCTGGACCATCGAAGGGCGAGCTTAAAGGTGCTGGAAAAGGTCTAGAGGCAAGTCGAAAGCGTCGAGAGTTAGATCGTTCGACAGACCTGACGGGACCTGCCAAGTACTTCTCCCAGTCCCATGTCTCAATTCCGCCGTCTGCTGGTGGCAACGTGTCTTGAAGAGAAGTTGCGGCCGATGCAGCGGAGGGGCGCCTCGACGGCACAGCCCAATGCGAACCTGCTTCGCCGGTAGCTAATTGCTTCAAAAGCTCCCACTCGCCACGGGGTAAAGGTGGCAATATGCGGTTCGCACACTGCTTCCACCACTTTTTCTCTTTCAGGCGCGCTGGTTTCTCAGCAAAGGGCTTCCCCCATATATTCATTGCGGGAACCGCTGCGCGAGGATCAAGCCTCTTGGAGCTAAAGTTTGGTCGCGGGGAATTGCGCAAGTTGCGGCCAGCCTGGCTTCTCGCGAACGCAAGGATTTTCCCTTTATCCCAAGTCCCCAGCCAGTCCCGCGGGGCGGTGGCATGTGCTTCCCGGAGTTGGTCTTCAAGTTGTCCCGAATTGTCTGGTTGCTTCGGCCGGCAAAGATCCGCGAGAAGCTCGTGGCGCCTCCAGCCGATGCGGCCGAACGACAACATCATAACTTTGCGCATGCGGTCCATATCCCCAAGGTTCGCTGCCCGAAGATTGCGAAAGTCATGGAGGGCCTGACGAAGACGCTTATTAGGATTCTGATCTCCCCTGTGCCTTCTAAACCGGAGGCGAATGCGAGGTTCAATGCGCGTCCTACATACCGGCGGAAGGTAGGAGGCTTCACGGAGTAGGCTGCGATATACGTGGAGCGGATTGTAGGCCCTCTTGAATCCGCTTGGCGGTGACATGACGACTTATGGGCATCTGATGTATGCTGTACTCGAAGAGCTAGATTGTCTTCATGATTAAAAGCTCTCATTAATAGTTTTGCGATAATCCGGCTTCAAGCTCAGCCTTCCCATTTCAAAACTGGGTACAAAGAAAAGCCGTCCTTGAACAGGTACTTTTAAGGCATTATCCGTATCCCACACAGTGTGGTTAATGTGTCGTCTGATTGGCGAGTGGCTCGGTGTCCACTTCCTCCCGCCCGCCCGCCAGGCGCGTCGTGCGGCCAGGCCACGGACAGAAACCTGGACACGAAATCACGAAACCGACACGACCGCGACACCCCCGACTTTAATTGATTTCCAACACGCCTAATACATGGAGCGGTTCGCCCATCTGAGCATCGTCAACACCAACTTCATTTATGAACCACCCAGTTCATAGTCACGCTCTCCCCCTCAATCGTCACATCACGCCGCCCTGGACTCCATTTGACGCGACGACGCCTCCTACGTGAACGAGTGAACCCTTTCCCGTCTTACGTACCTCTTCACCTTGCCTTTCCTTGCGTCGCTTGCTTCCCCCGACTGTCATCTTCCTTAATCTGTCAATTTTGCTCCCATTCGCCGAACTGTTTTCTGTTCGTCAGCGACTTCGCATCTAACAAGACGCAGCCCTTAGCAGTCCTTCTCCTCGCCTTGTTTGTTCTATTGTGTCGACGTAGCTTTTCCCTCCTCTCCCCTCTCTGTTGCCCTGTAGCGGTTGCTTACCATCGCCCACCTCTCCGACATCCACTCTTCTGATCGCTGCACCCACGTCATTGTCGAATCATTATCTCGTCTGGGCCCCTGGAAGGTTGCCCTATATGGCCTCTGCAACTGTCACCACATCACTCCAACCACACGGCGCATCCTTCTCGGCTGCCGGTGGTCTTTCTCACGAGCAGACGCAGCCTCCAAACCAGAAAGCAACGGCCCCAACTCCCTCGCCGGCCTCGGCCTCCGCTCAGCTGGCGGTGACAATCCCACCATCGCATCCATCCCACGCGCCACATCTGTCGGTCGGCAATCCCTTGGATCATTCAAGCAACTCACTCAGCGGCGTCGCTCAAATGCCATCCGCGTCGCAACAATCGCAGTCTTCACAGCAGTCTTTTGCAATGAACGCGGATCTTTCACAGCAGTCCGGGCCGTTATCGGTGTCTGGCTATCGACCTTTTGCAGAGTCTTCCCAATCGAAACCTGAAGACGACGATCCGATGAAAATCTACTCGGTATGCTACATAAACCTGTGCTTTCCCTCCCTTTTTGATTCGGACCTATACCACATCCGATACCGTGTTATCTTGTGGACCTTGAGCTAACCTTGTATCTTCAGGCTGTTTACTCGAACACAAATGTTTACGAGATGGAAGTGAACGGCATCGCCGTTATGCGCCGCCGTCACGACTCTTGGCTCAATGCTACACAGATTTTGAAAGTTGCCGGTGTCGACAAAGGCAAGCGCACTAAAATTCTCGAAAAGGAAATCCAAACAGGGGAACACGAGAAGATCCAAGGAGGCTATGGAAAATATCAAGGCACCTGGATCCGTTTTGAGCGCGGAGTCGAGGTGTGTCGGCAATACGGCGTGGAGGAGATACTTCGTCCCCTCCTAACCTATGATATGGGACAGGATGGTGGTATTGCTGGCCAGGGCAATTTCAACACACCGACTAAAGAACAGGCAATGGCTGCTCAACGAAAGAGGCTCTATAACGCCGGCAATGAAAGCCGGTCTAATGGCGCGTCGGGCACCTTCTTCAAAGGCATTTCCAGCACGGCGTCCAACATGGTCGGCATCATCAGCAAGGCCCGCTTTGACTCACCCGGCCCGAGGAACCGTCCTGCGAGCGGCCAGGCGGACAGAAATAGTCTCGCACGCGGTCCAAGTTTTACTCGCCAACCGTCAATGCAAGGCGACGAACTTCCGAATTCCCAGCAAAGCTATACGTCCGAATACAACAGAGATGATGCTGCTTACTCGTCTCAACCCCACAGCGCCCAACAAACCAACATCGGTGATGGCACAGAGCCTCCTCGGAAGCGTGCCAGGATGACGGCCACCCCTGCCGACAGCTTTGCGTTCCCTGGCTCGGCCGATGCATATGCTAACGCGGCCGCGTTCCCAGGCTCCCCAACAGAGCCGAACGAGTCGTTCATTTATAGCCAAGCTGGCTTCGAGCTACACCCGTCCATAGAAGGCCTCAACCCCCTCCCGCCCCTGCCGTTTGAAGTTTCCGCCGATGCCGAAAACAAGCGTAACACTCTTATGTCCCTGTTTATGGACTCGAATGGCACAGGTCAATCCCGATTCGACATTCTTCGTCGCATGACGCCGCATGAGCTTGATATGCCTATTGATGCACAAAGCCATACTGCTCTGCATTGGGCAGCCACGCTGTCTCGGATGCCTCTGCTCCGCTCTTTGATTGCTAGCGGTGCAAATCCATTTCGTGTCAATGCTGTAGGCGAGACGGCATTGATGCGTGCGTGCCTTGTTACAAACTCCCATGAACACAATTCTATGCCGGACCTCCTGGATGTGCTAGGCAGT